CCCGCCGGGAGCGACGCGGGAGCCGCGGCCACCCCAGGACCCCGCGAGCGGCTCACGGGAGCCGGCTCCGCGCTCACCTTCCTTTGGCATCTCTGCTATTAACAATCTTGGCACCTAATGCTTCCACCAGCATTTCAGCAGTGCCGTCCTGGTTGTTAATTCTGCGGTGGGGAGGAGAAGGGAAGTTAGAGGCAGGAGAAGCGGCTCAACCGCCTCACCCGGCGCGCGGGAGCCTCGAAAGGACGAAACAGCAGCTGCTCTGCAGTGACTTAGGGGCAAAGCCTTGGTCTCCCTGGTGTTACCCAAGGAAACCCAGCACCGCCGGGCTGTGCGTGGCCGCTGCAGAGCTCTGCGGCTCCCAGGGGACCTCCAGTGGCCCAGCCATGGCCTAGCAGCTGCGGAGAGGCCGGGACGAGCGGGCAGTGCAACCCTGAAGGGTGGCAGGGTGCCGAGCAGAAGAGATTCTGCTCTGCCAAGAGCATCAGGGGTTGGATCTCATCGTTCCGTGGGCGCCTCAAGCCGCGCATTCCCTCTCCCGGCCATTCCAAGGGGAAGGACCCTGGGTGCCACTTACACTGCACAGTGCAATGGAGTAAAGGGGTTTCCTTCTAGGTACGCAAATGGATTGTGTTCAAGTAACAATTCAAGACAATCTTCATGCCCTGTGAGAGAGATGGGAATGCATCAGTATCCAGAAGACTGGAGGTGTCTCCGACCTCCCTCGTGCCCCTCCTAAGAGCCTGAGGCCCCAGTGGACCTTGCATGAAGCAAACAGGCCTGAGCGTGCCCTGTTCCTGCCCCTTACCGCTATACGAAGCCCAGTGCATCGGTGAGTAACCACTGTAGTCCACCACGGAGTCCAGAGGGTCAGTAGAGAGGGCTGCCTGCAGCAGGGTCCGCAGGATTTCTAAGTGCCCGCACGCCGACGCAAAGTGGATCGGGGTCCGGCCCTTGAAATCCCGACACAGAACGAAGGCATCGTGGTCCAGCAGGGCGGCCAGGCTCTCCTCGCAGCCCGTCACAGCCTGCGCCGGGATACACGACCGAGAGCTTCAGCCACTAACGACACGAGCATCCCCTTCTTCCCCAGTCTCCTCCAATGCTGCATTCCAGGAAGGGAAGAGGGGCAGCCTCCACGTGGGAGACCTCCGAGTGGAAGTTACCAAGCCCCAGGACAGCCCCGGAGACGCGCTCACCCCTCGATGCAGGGCGGTCCTGCCCCTCTTGTCTGCGGCGTCGGCCGTGGAGCCCTTCTCCAGCAGGAGGTGGACGCAGTCGACGTGGCCGTTCATGATCGCCAGCATCAGCGGGGTTCTGCGGGGGG